ACATTCAAGTTTGTTTACTGATATGTAGAATGCACTAAGGAGCCCTGTTTTCCTTTGACCTTAACCTGCTCTTTTCTTTGTTTTGTCCATCTTTTCTGTAAATTTGTGTTTTCTTATTGTCCATTTGTCCTCTCCCTCTTCACATACAGCTTTTGGCGTCCTGTTCAGCGACAAGTGTGGCTTCAGTACGGAGCGCCTCATCCTGAACAAGAGCCGGGACACTGTAGAGAACGTGGCAGGCATGGCCTTCCTCCTCGCTGCGGATCGTGTGCAGACAGGCAGCTACATCGGACTGGACTACATAATCGGGGACACGGGCATCACTCAGGAAGGTAAGCAAGTAACTGAGAAGGCTTGGACTTTGTTTGAAAAGGGTTATTTTGTCCAGTCGCTTCTAAAGGAATGAGCGGCATACAACGTCAGCCATTAAAGCGTTAAATCTGATGGAAAAAGATGAAACCGAGACAGTGGGGCTGGTTTCCTGCTCATCAGACTTTCAATATCTCCTCCAGACTGGATATAAAATATTTATGACAGGGAGCAGAAATGGAACTCCTTTTTGAGCGAAGAAATAAGGTGAAGGGATGATAACAATCTCTCACCATCTTTATAACTCGACACTCAGAGAGGGATAAGTCACTACTGTCTGATTAGTATTATGACCAAGTTTGAGTAAGTAACATTTTGACAATCTCTTTTTAAAACCATGCAATTTCATCTATATTTTAGGTTTCCATCGAAAAGTACCCAAGCTTTTAAACAAACGACATATCTTCAGTCACATTTTTAACCTAAAGCTGCTGCACAAGAATTTCAGAGAGCAGTGATGGATCCATTCAACATTGAAGATAGGCAGATAGATACTGATAGTTCTCAAGTTTTTTTGTTGTCTCATAAAGACTAAAAAGTACTTGTGTTTCTATATGTGTTTCTCTTGCAGATAAAGAGCAGAGGGGGTGAAAGTCTAAATTGCACAAATACATTGTCAACATTTCTGGACCTATACGTTGCCAAAGTATTTGTGCAATTGCAGACATTGCTTGCAATTTCTTTGGGATGTAATTGTAGCATGTTGTGGTATCAATATGTGACTTTTACTAGTACTGAATACTGGTGTCATGACAACCCTAATGTTTGAGGCATGATTATCTGCAGTCCTTGCTCTGGTTGTTTTGCAGACACTACTGGGCCTTCAGGGTGGAGCCGTACTCCTACATGGTGAAAGTCGGGGTGGCCTCTGATTCAAAGCTGATTGAATGGTTTCACAACCCCAGAGATACCAGCAGCCCAAGGTGAGTGCAGCCACATGTCTGACATATCAACACACTCTCTAAGGCTCTCTGCTAAAATCTGTCCACTTTCATGTGATGGACTAAATTCAACAAACCGTGTTCATCTTTACCTTTTTAACTGCAACACACTGACAGAAACAACAATCTAACAATCTAAACTCGTAAAGAGCTTATTCAGACAAAGCCCGCCGTTCTCCCCGGATCAGCTCATGTAGAAGAAGCATGTAAAGGAAGACGTTATTTAAACACACAAATCTTAATGCTACGATGATTAGATCATGTATGCGAGGTAATTAACAAACACAGCACGCAGCTGAAGGTGTTGTTTGTATTGTTTATGCCTTTGAAAAGAAACAGAATAATCAAATGTCATCAATGTGAGGCTTTTCCTCTTTCAATGTTGCCACAGTAAATAACTCCGATATATGCTCTGGTCTCAGAATTATTATTTTTTTTTACAATTGTTACTTTAGACAAAATAATCCATCTTTCATGACAGCCCCATAAAATACCTTTTTATCTCTGTCAATAAAAGATCAGGAAATGTTGTTTTTTTTTTTTTAAACTTTTCTACCCAAAAGTCAGTCATTAAGGCAGTTTCTATGAGTAACACTGAAATATTTGAGCTTTGGCTCTTTTACACCAGCTGAACATGACCCAGTTTTTTTATATTTGAGCAAATATATACTCATGAGAAGATAGCATCCCTCTTTAAATTCTTACAAGTTTGATTTTTCAGAAAATGAACAAGGATAAATTGATTAAATCAAGCATGTTTTTTTAATATCTGTCATATTTTGACTTCTTTTGATTGCTCTGGTGTGTTGATCCGATTCAACCAGGCATTTGCAGTCACTGTGTGATTTGCCCTTTCATCTATTTTTAAACATTTATAAAGCCAATGATTTCTAGATTCAGTATTCTGCAAATGACAGAGAATGAAGTCATTTTAGTTTTAGCCTTAACCCTTTTGGCCATAACTTTAAGTCTTTGTTTTTCAAAACACTAGCTGCATATTTAAGAATCTTTCAAACCCCCTCTTATTTTCCGTCCCCCAGGTATGACCATGACAGCGGGCATGACAGCGGCAGCGAGGACGCGTGTTACGAGCTCTCCCAGCCCTTCACCCTCCTCACCGTGGGCATGGGCAAACTCTTCATCCCAAAGGCTTCCTCGTCCTCCTCGGCAAGCGCGGCTTCCAGCGACCCTGGCAACCGTGTGCTCCCCATGCCACAGCGCTTGGGCGTATGCCTAGATTACGACGCATGCCGCGTGTATTTTTACGACGCCGACACCATGAGGTGCCTTTACGAGAGGCAGGTGGAGTGCTCGGGAACAATGTATCCAGCTTTCGCCCTCATGGGCAGCGGCAAGGTACAGCTGGAGGAGTTCATCACGGCTAAGAGGCTGACCTTCTGAGGAGGGACGGAGTACAAAGACTTGCATCGATTTAATCCGAGGCATGTTCTCAGAAGAGCTGGTTTTATTGACACGGTGATGGAGTACAATCCAAACTGTGTCTCTAAGGTCAGGTGAGGCAGGTGTGATCAGGGTCTTTGGTCCTAAATGTGAAATGAGGGTCTAGAGTTGGCATGTATGAGGTACAATCTGCACTCACAAGAGCAGGACACTGAATATAAGTGTCTATATACAAAGCAGATGGTCTATGGTATGTGAAAAGTCTCCTCTGCCTACCAAAGTCTGTAGCTGTTTAATTGTATTGACCTACTTTTAATTACCAGCTATTATCAGCTGTTTATGTAGAGGAGTTAGCTGTGAAATTAGCCTGCAGCTACTTTAATTGTTTTAACATTAAAACGCCTTGGAGCATTCACTCACACTTCCTCCTACCAGGTTGTTTTTTTTTTTTTTTTTTAGATGATTTGGTGTGTAAATAACACGGTGATCTTTCTGTTCCTTTGGCTCTCTTCTGTATCTGTGGGTCTAGACGTAGCAGCATAGCTTAACATGTAATCTTGGTGGACCTAAGAGCCTTGTAGCTACTTTGAAGCTAGCGCCTTTGTGCCTTTTTTTTTTTCTTTCTTTTTTTTAAGAAAATGGCTCACTTAGTTTGCTCTGGTAGGCTGATGTTGGTGTCATTGCACAAGCATAATGGAATTAATTCTCAGCATAAATACTGTATGTGAGTTTTACTGTAGTTAGAGTGTAATCACAGACACTGGTGTCAATCTTGCAACTGTTAGAAATTCTTCATTATGACTTCTATTTAATCTTGACTTCATCACAAAGAAGCACTAATTTCACTCCTTCTCACAGTTTTTCGTTCTGCTGTTTTTTGCACAATATTAAGAAAGAAGCCTCGCACATGATACACTCACAGTCACATTTCGATCACTACACCGCTAGCTTCTTCACTTTAAAAAAAAAAAATGATGTTGTCAACAAAATCAGCACATTAACGTCTCACTTTCACATCATCATGAACTTTGTTTTCCCATTTTATGAGGAGTTTCTAAAAGCCTCTCACTGTTTGCGCAGCACTGAATGTGACTTTCAACATCGTTCAGCCAGCCGGGTACCTCGACGCTGTACCTGCAGTGAACATCGCTTTCACAGCTTCAGAGTCACTTACAGCCTAAGCGTGCTGGTTCTGGTGCTGACTTTAAGTGCAAAACACATCTCTGTGGCCAAGCTGCCTGTAAACACAGTTTAAAAACAAACAACACAGTAATTCAGGTTTCTTTCAAAAGTGCTATCACTAAACACACACTGTTCAGTACCTTTTTTTTTATTTCTAACTGAACCACAGTTTACTTGCAGTACAGACACATGAAGTGTAGCATATTAGCATGTCACAGGTGATCACGTTATCAGACAGACTCCTCAGCGGTTGATTGGTTAAAGCAGATCTGATATTTAAGGCTGAGAGCACGTTATTCAGACGGTTTGCTATAGGCGACCACACGTTATTATTATTATTTTTGTTTAACAGACATATACTGTAAATGTGCCTGCACATGGGTTTGTTTGTACATTCATGTCTGGTTGGATTTCTGTAGGATCAGGGTAAAAGGTGGGTGTGTTTTCTCAGGTTTCTAGCCCTGTGATTTGGGCCGATGCTACCTACCTCTATCAGTCAGGCCTGGAAAACCTTAACTACTGTACCTGTCCTCGCAGAAACGACTTTTATTTGAGTTGCAGTTTTGTCCAAAACAAAATCGAGTTCAACATATCCGCCTTCTCTTTCATGTACGATAATAAGCTGATCTTTCCAAATGTTTAATTCATGTGTACATAATAATCCAGATTCTATTATTTTCTGTGAAATTAAGTACATCTTTAAATGTTTATGTTAACAGTCGCTGTTTGCTCGTGGACTTTAAAGATGTGTATCACTATCGATGACTCTTCTGTAACCTTGTTCAGCTGCCTTCTATCAAACGGTACTAACGACATTGTCTCCCTCTCTTTGTGGTGGTGTTTTTTGCTAATCACTTTCAATGTTTTTGCTAATGGAGTTTTTGTTAGGCTTTTAAAACATTTTATAAATTCCTTGCTCTGAGGTTTAGATTAATGATAACGTCTTTAAAAACAAACTTTTGGATTCTGTTTGCATGTCTTTGTCTCACATTGTTGGTCAATTTCACTTCTATTGTCAAAAGCTCACACAACTGTACTTTAAATTGACTGTTTCTATGTCTTGAAAAACACCTCTATGCATTTATGGCAGGGTAAGTTCAGTTTGAATTCCATCACAGAATGTATTCCTGTTGTGTTTCTTAAACAAAACAAACAGCTGAATGTTACTTTTCCATGTGTTTTTAAGGTGGTTTTCTGCTGTTTTTGTTCCACTTGGGAGTCACCGCACAGTTGTATGTAGTTACAGAAAATCTGATAAATGGCATGTTATCTCAACGTCACATCTGATCTTACAGAACAATTCATCGTAGCCTGCTCTTCAGCCATGAATTTAGAACCAAATATTTAGCAGGCTGGCTCGCTCAATCGTATTCCAAGCTAGCACTTTAAAAGTCTGTAGCATGTCAGCAACTGTTTGGCTCTGCAGGTGTGTGTGTGTGTGTGTGTGTGTGTGTGTGTGTGTAATAAACGTGTGAGTGCAATATTTTTGGACAGGCTGTAGTATAGAGATTTAGACGAGCCTGGTAAAACAACTTGCACTGCTGTTAGTTTTTACTTTTCTTTGTGGATTTAAATGGGCTTTCCAGTTGAAATGGGATACTGAGAGAAATCTAAACACTACTTTATTTGTATCTCCCCCCCCCCCCCCCCCCAGTAACACTCATTGTTTCTGAACTCTTAAATATGTGGCAGTAAATTTGTCCATTTATGTTTTTTCTCCAGAGGATTTGGATGTGGTGTGTAAGTGGTGGGTGTCTGTAGGTGTAGTAAAGCTGTGGAAATATTGTTCCTCGCTCATATTCCTGTTAATGCTACATTTTTCAATTTGCTGTGTGGGAATTCCAATAAATGAAACTAGTGTGTTTTTAAATCTACTCCGTCTCTTTGTTGTTATTTACGTCATTTTACTTGAATTAAACGGCTCTTGCATGGGCACTGTTAACTATTTCGAAGCCTGTTAGTTACCTCCACAGAACAACCTCTGAACTTAACTCGATGCCACTTAACAGGCTTTCTAATCTTGTATAAGACCCCCCCCCCTCCCTAATTCTCTTTCTTGCAGAAATATTGTTTGTGTATGCACTCCAAGTTTGAGATACAACCACAGCACTTTAAACTGAATAAATGACAAGCCATAATCTTACTTTTCTTCAGTAATAATTATAGGGTATTTTAAAGTTGATCATGTTTTAATATTTGTCTTTAGCATTAGTACATGACTGCCCTTAAGATCTGTGCTCACGTGTATTTCACATAAAATAAAAACCTGAAGACACAAATCTATAGAAAATAAGTCGTTGTGCTCCTAGAATGTCTTTAAGCACTGATATTTTTTAGCATGTTTATAAAACAATTTAACAAACTTATGAGCTTATGGCTCTCCAAGTTTTGTAAAAATAACTTTGTATATATTTGCTCTTGTTGCTGAATATTGTCCAACTCCATTCCCTGAAGTGTGAGTTTATTTGGTTTGTATCTTAGTCTGGATATGTATTTAATATTTAGTCTCCAAGATATTTTGGACTTCTGTATCATAATTGCAGTATGATTACAGTACTACTGAAGCTTTACTTTGAGATTTATTGTTTTCATATTCATGCTCTTCAACTCAAATAAAACATGTACTAAATATGTTGCTGTACATTATTTATAGTAGAAGCTATGGCAAATCTAAATAATGCAATTATCTTAATAATTATTATCTTAATGTTTTGAACAGATGTGGATTTATATTTTTAGGGTAAACCTGCACTCCCTCCCCTCGCCCAAAGAGGAATAGAAAACACAAGAAAAAAAAAAATACACAAACATCTATACAGGAGAGATTCATCAGCTTTTTAATGAAATGCATCTAAAGAGATATGTGAGCAATGGGTTTATGCAGGCTATACATGAGAAAAAAAACAGTGGAAAAGGATTTGTATGACCTTTTGCCACTGTGACCTTCTCTGCTTTCTACCCAAGATTCACTTTGGCTTACTTTCATAGAATAACATTTTAATTAATTACAGAGCCATTTAAGCTACCATCAAAAGTAGCCAGCAGGCTTAAGGATATTAGACTGTCAAAGACTAAAATAGGTTAAAACCTGTAAACGGCCAAAACAAACATGTCTGTACCGTGTTTTGTCACTATTTTATGTTTTTCTTCTTCTGTCGCTGTAAAGCACTGTGCATTGCATTTCATATGTCTGAAAGGTGATATAATAAAGCTCGATTGAAAGCTTAGTTGAAGACTGTAACAATTTCCACCCTTACACCTTTCACATGCTAAATTTACAAATTATCCCTCCACTCAAGTTCACTTCATTTGTCTGTCTACTCGCCGTTATATTGAATAGTTTCTGCTGATAACATGTCGACACTCATGCACTTTAACTTATGTCAGTACTGCCCATTTACAACTCTGTTTTTACACATTTACATTTAATCTTTCATATTTAAGACTAGTAATGTTTAGTTAAATCCTGGTTGTATATATTCTCATTCTTAGTTTTGATATTTTTAGTGCTTATTTACTTTGTATTTAATAATAATAATAATAATAATAATAATAACTTTATTTATATAGCACCTTTTAAAAACACAGGTTTACAAAGTGCTTTGACAAACAGCAAGAACAAAGCAAACTAAACCAAACACAGAAAAACATTAACAACAGTAAGAATATAACAGATGCAAAATACCAAAAATAATTAAATACAGTTCAACAGAAAAGAACCCAAAGTGCACGATACACAACCAGACATATATAACCCAACCATCACAAGAACCATCATAATAATTAATATTATATTGTGTATTTAAATTTGCTAATATTGTGTTTTTGCACATATTGTGTGTTTGGACAACCTGCTGCTACAATTTCCCAGTTTGGGATCAATAAAGTAAATCTATTGTATTATTCTATACAGTATGCCACACACACATCTGTGTTTTGCTTTGCATGCTGGTGACTTTAAAGACTGCCTTCTTATGTTGGGTTTATTGGTTATAATGGTCGGGAGAAATACCATACTGCCCATCCACCTGCTGAAGGATGCTGAGCTGTGGGAGGAGGGGGAGGAGAGGGAGGAGGAGGAGGAGGAGGACGACGACGACGACGACGTCACGCTGTGCACGCTGCAAACCAACGCGGAAGAGACGAAGGAGGAAAAGAGACTCCACGTCACGGAGGTGTAACACTGGCGTCAGTGCTACACAAGGTGCTACCTCAGCACGGCTTCAGTACCATTGTAGCCTACAACAACAACACCACCAACACCACCACACATCCTCATGTAGGTTTCTTTTTTTTTTATTATTGCCCCACAAAGCGAAGACCGCGGGTCGAGACGTCGGGATCCGCTGAAGGTACCGTACATTGTGTTTGTGTTTGTGTCCGCTGCCTGCTAGCAAAGCCCGGCTGCACCTCAGCTCTGTACCTGCCTGTCTGATATCCTCTGAACACCGGTGACCTTTGCTGCTTGAAGGAAAGCGACGCACTGCTTTCTTTTCTTTTGTATGAACCATAATAATGAATGTAGGCGACATTAGCGCCGGTCGTGGAGAATCAGAGGGATTGACTCAGCTAGCTGCTAAATGTTGTTGACGTTTTTCTGATGACAGCTGGTTTCACCTGCATGTACATCTCTGCAGCTCACCTCAGGTTAACTGTATACCCCGTATGTTATCTCCTAATTCATAATAAAAATGCATCCGGGGCCTTTTTACCACCTGAAATACTAAGTGATGGTTTAGTAATAAAACAGTAACAACACCTTTAGGCTCATTTGTTGGCATGCAGTTTACTCTGGATGCAATGTAACCCCCACTCATTAATGATTAAAAAGCTACCACTACAACATCAACCATTCTAGTTATTCAGCGACTAAGATGAATGCACTAGCTGTCAGCTTTTACATTAAAAACATTGCCTACTTTTTAAGGGGATTTTATTAAGTTTTAAGTGTAAAGAAAGAAAGAAACGTCAACATTATTTGATTCAAGCTTTCTAAGTGTGATTGTGTTCAGGTGTATTTACTCGTCCTGTGATGGGGCTGTGGTCGGGGAATACAGCGCACCTTGCCATCTTCTGAGTGCAGGGTAAATGTTGGCTCTCGTAGGTAAAAGCTGCCTCCATGACATTGTTGTAAATGTTTTAAATTAAAATAAGAACACTTGTTGATGCTTGTTTTTATGATGTAGTTTGTATTTTGATGGTCATGGTCAGGCGTATTCACTTTTTGCAGTCTTTTAGGTTTTCTACGTCAGAAGTGGCGGATGATTAACACTCACAATTTCCTGTTTGATTTTTTTTACAACATACAAGAAATAAATATCACAAAAGAGGATAAAACCAATATTCATGGCCTTTAAATGTAAGTTAACATTTTCAGCAACACCTTTGAGGCGTCCTCCTACGAAAATCAGTGTATTCACTATTTGCCTGTGTAAACAGCTTGAAGGACAACAGCGTGCATGGAGACAGAAGATAACAAAAGGCCCTCACTTGTTTCAGTTAAGGATGTTCAATTCAACTGAAGCCTTCGTGTAGAACCACAGATCTACTGTGCTTCCAAGAATTCATGGGCAATTACAATGACACGATATCCAACATACCCCCCATCACAACATTACACCGTTTTCTGTACAACCCACATCGTTTTATATCACTATGTTGTGATTCATTTTGGTTCTGATATCGACTTCACTGAATAAGACACCCTGCCATGTGTTTACTTAAACTTGAGTATTCAGAGCTTGTGATTGATTTGTCTGTTCAATAGTTTGGTTAATTACTCCCCAGTTGTATTCTGTACTGCTGGCTGTGAGTGTTTTATCCAGTTGACCTTCAAGGCAGCAGCATCTGTTTTTCAATTTAAAGAAACCTTTCCCCGTGACGTACCCATATATGTTTTCAATTTGGTAAATATCTTTCTCAGTTAATTGGGTTTTTATCACAGTCTCTCTTCTCAGTGCAGTGTTTATGTTGTCAAAGTCTTGGCTTAGATTCGGCTTGTGTTTTTGTCTATTAAGTTGAAGTGCGACGATTCAGTGCAGCCCTCGATAACAACCTAACCGCATGTTATCAGATATCCACATGTAAATTCAGATATCCACATGTAAATTAAACGTTCACGTGAAGGGTTGTTCAGCTTGAAGTTTTGTACCCTTTTTTTTTTTTCCTAAGGCCCTTGCTATTACATGTTGATGTCAATATTTCTGGTCGACACATGGGGAGAGATTGCATTCATATCTAGAGACCAAGCTTCAAAAAAACGAAGTCCTGCTTGTGGTTGTTTTTTGGTCATGTGTCCTTGCTTCAGGATGGAAAATTAACTTTTCTAAGAAGTGAACATTGTTCAAACTCAAAAGTAAATCATTATTTGTTTCTGACATCTATGTATAACCATCTGATGTCTAGTGCAAATATACTTCCTCACTTGTATGGAGACAGTTAGCTGTTTTGTTTTGTCTGAAATAAGTAAAGACATTTTGGATCCATTTCAGAAATGTGAATCAAACTGAATACACTTGTTGCAAAGGCTGAGTTAAATGTCATTGTGGCACGTATAAAGTGAAGATGGATTCGTAATCTGAGAATAAGCTCACTGTAATATGGTGTGTAATTTATCGGTGTAATATTTCGGTGTATTGATGTCAGGGTCAGAATCAGATTTAGGAAATTGGTGGTTTTGTGCATCGTGATAAAAATGGCGAGAGGATAAAAAAACTATAACGCAGATCAAAAGCAGAACTGCATCATTCATGTCATGTCTTGTCCCGTCGTGTTAGTTCAGTCTCAATGCAGACGTATGTCATAAACAACGGGTTATATTGGTTTTGATTGTATAAGCCGCCACTCCATTAGAGTCGGCACCGTCTTAAAGAAA